CATTTTTTTTGTGATTTTGTGTGCCTAATGATTAATGGTTAATTTAGTAGCTATTAGCACATTTCAGTGAAATCAAACTTTCAATCCCCCTAGTGAGTTGCCCAATATTCCCCAGAGTTTTATAGCATAAATAGGGAAGATCCCATACTCACAGAGGCCTGTGAGCTCCTTCTGTGTGCAGGGCATAATGGAAATCTCTGTGTTTGCTTTATACAAGAGGCCATTGTGACAACTCGTTCACATATTAGTTTTCCATTTCAGGCACGGGGAAAGAGTTCGAATTAGGGTTTGCTCTAAAAACATGGGATAATATTTAACATTTAACAACAGGAAGCTTAATGTCTGTGAGGGCAGACAGATTCTTTCTCCTAGTGGCTGAAAATGTAACACTATTCCTGGCAATGATCAAATATTCCAGCAATCAGTGTTTTCACATTATCACTATGTTAAAATTCAAACTTTCTGCTCTTTCATTTGATGTATATATGTATATGTATTCATAGAACAAAAATATGGTCACTGGTAAGTTCGACACAGTACTCAGGCAAGGCCAGTGTGCTTCATCATCTATAATATGTGCAGTCACATGTGCAGGAGCCTACTGTAGTGATTCATTAGTGTTTCTTACAGTACCACAGCAGGCTTCATCCTCTGGGGACTATGCCTGCAATATTCCTAGAGACTGACGAAAAATTGGAGATAAAACATGAACCTGTAGGATCTCATGGTGAGGTCATTAGATGGCTCTGCTGTGTTTCTTAAACCACTTTTTCTGGTATGGTTTAGTTCTACTTGTTGAACTACAAATCAAGTAGTTTTGAATGATCACTTTATCCTCTGATAAAATGCTTCTATAAAGATGGCAACGCTTTTTTCCAGCATATAATGGTCCTTCCAAGGACCATAAGAGCCTCTGAAAGGCTTGAAAAGTCACCAGTTCTCAACCCAGTTGAACTGCTAGGCAAATATTTTGGACCAAACTTTAAAGAGCTCTCTGTCACCATCATCAGAACAACAAGTGGGAAAATATCACTATTGAAGAAGATAGATTCAAGAGACTTTAAGACCCTTATCAGCCATGGCTAAACACCTTATATAGAGATGTTTTTTATTTATTTGTTTGAATTTTTTGTTTTTATTTGTGACGTGAAAGACCAACAGACTGGCCCACAGCATTAGACTAAAATAACATGAAGCTGTATCATCTTGATGAATTCTCAATCATCCAGGTAAGTAAATCTCCAAAGGTTGAATCTGCTCATGAAGAAGTCACTTGGATGAGTGACGAAACATTTCTCCCACTGAAAACGCTGCGTCCAGATGAACAGAATCAACCTTTGCAGATTAAGCTGTATCTGCTTTTAAACTCATCTCAAGATCTCCTACTGGAAAATGAGCCATGATTAATTACTAACCAATGTGACTTGTTTTGTACAAAGAACCTTGTTTTGGCAGGAAAATATAACTACATGGCTTACATCCAAGACTGCTGGCCAACCAGGACATCCCAGCAAGTATTAACACTTATCATTGCTTACAATTTTGTTTTAATTATGGTGGAAAGACAACACAGTGAAAGAATCTTCCACATCAAAATAATATTTTATTACCTGCCTGTACGTAAAAAGATCAGTTCAGGAGCTGAAGAGCCAATAAAGGTCACCATTCCTAAACTAAATTAAAATATTGCAGTGCTGAAGCTCTCCTTATAATTATTGACAGTCTGGATGCAACTTGAATGCAACATGTTGTTTCTGCCTCTAAAAAAGACAAGAAGCTCCCTTAAACATGTTAATCTGTTTTTTTGTTTTTCTCATGACTCTTGTGGAACATTTTGTAGGTGTGTCCGTTTGTACACGTCATCCCTGCACTTATCTAGAGGAAGGCAGGACCACAAAACTGTGCCACTGGCAATCAAATAGTATCACACCCCGACGTTGTGTGACAGCAGTGGTTGTGATCATGAGGCATCTGCCCCCAGTCCAGTCTTACAGAGGAAATCTGCTGACAGTTTGTTTTGTATTTGGTTTTTTCTGTTTGCCGATGATGGATCGTTGGCATATCACACAAGCCTGACTCCACAGAGACAACAAACCTCTAGCTTCCTTGTGTTTTTTAAAATATATTTTATGTCTTGTATTTTAGCACTTGCAGGCTATATATATTTTACACCTCTGAGGTCTTTATGAACCGGTCCAAAAATCCACCTAAAAGAAGTGATTATACCAAAATTTTGAGTGCATAGTAATACATTCATGGTTATTATATTTTAATGCTTTACACCACATTGGCTGTCACACGTTATGTCCTATAGTAGACACAACCTTAACAGCCATAATTGAATAGTACAGTCATGATGGTGAGAGATCTGGTGTCATTAAACTGAAACTAATAAAACCACTCTTGTTCAGGGTATTTTCGGCATGATATTATGAAGAACAACGAGCTAAAAAGGCAGGAAAGCTATCTTCTTAAATATTAAATTGTTACACTAAATCTGTGAGACAAGTCATTTCAATCCTAAATCTGTGAATCATCAGGAATGTCAAATAACAAGAGGAACAGGGAAGGGATGTCAGCCATAAAGCTTAAAAAAGAAAAAGAAAAAAGGGAAAAAAGTCTATCCCTTGTTTCTGGGATCAACTGTCACAGCCAGAGCAAGCTGGAGATGTGTCTTGTGGCACAAGTTTTGTTTGGTTACTGGTATATTACAACAGTAATGACTGAGAGACCTGTGACGTTCCTTTGATCTTACAGGAAAAGACACACCACTAGGGGAACTCCCGCTCTGTCTTCCATGAATATGTCATTGATGCCTCAGGCCTTCATCCTGCAGAGTTTCCAATGTACTGGCTGAGACTCATTTGCATAGATCAAATTTGCAAGACAAATTCAGCGCTGTGCTCTATCACCTCGCCTGTTGCTTGTGTCTGTGAGATAGAGACACACTCAGTACCTGCATGTGGATTAGGGTGTGTTGTTCATAACACAAAGAGCTTATGTTTTAGTCTTGATTTTTTTTTTTTTTTAAATTTGTTGGTTTGGTTATTTGCTGGATGGATCAGATTTGGCAGATAACTGTTGCTGCCAGTGCTGAGACTGTTTCTGGTGTATGATTCTGACATTTGACACCACCGGTCAGACAGAAACTTGAAGCCATTTTACAGACATCTGAGACACATCAAACAAGTACACTCAAAATATTTCACTGTCCTGCACTCCATGCAAACGTGCAGGGATTTTGCATATCTTTACATACAGTTTCTAAAAAATTTTGTTTTGTGAGAGTATTTCTGACTGTTTCCTGTTTAGTAGATTTACAACTTTGAGGATACAGCACCTCAGGCAACAAGATATACAAATTAACTGTGGCTCCCACTTTGGTCACACACAACTTTAACACAGCTGCTATGTCTGGCAATTGTGTTAGAAAATCAAAATTACTCCCCTTAATTAAGGTTTTGTATGCCTCTGCTTCCATGTGGGATTGTTGCAGACACATGCAGGCATGCATGCTACCTTCATGTTCTCCGGTTTTCCCCCAGGCTTCCCCAGGCAGCACCACCCCTCCTCTTTCAGGACCCATGTCCTGTTTGCTCGGTTCCACCCAAGATGATCCTCTCCTTCCCTTTCTGTTGGTTTACCTGGGCAGGATTTTGATTTGCTCAGTCTCCTCACACCCACAAGCTGCAGCACCAGTAAGTCTAACTGTTGCAGAGGATAACAACAGACCCTACTGTAATATCAACAAATTTTGCATAGAGACCTCAGATTTGTTTGCCTGACAGTAAGCCCTCATGTTTCTACTCGTCCCTTCACAAACACTGATTTCTGCACCACTAACACAACTGAATACACACTTGCTCTTGAATTTATAATGTATGTTTTTATACTTTTTGTATATCTATTTATCTACAAGCCATCTAGTTCTTTAACTGTACAGTGGAGAGCTGCTGTATGTGGGCAACTGAGGTTGGTAAACTCAGACGTACATACAATAACAAAATATGTAATGCGCAACATTTTTAATATCAATGAAAATTGGAGAACAGATGTGAATTGTTGCAGTTTGCATAGTGGAAAAACTGTAAGACTGGAGTCTTGCAGCGTGCCAGCTGTTCGTTTTTTCACAGTCTTTTAGGCCCATGCATAGTGGATATAGATGCATGCATTGAACAACAGAAACTATTCATTCTAACATACCAGTAACGATCCACCAAAACTGATATCATCATATTTACATCACAGCATGGCAGGGAAGGTGGGGGTGGGTGGGAGCTTCAACTTTGGGTTCACTTTAAATGTTCACAGTGCTTCTTTAAGTTCTTGTCAGATTTAAACAGAGCAGGTGAAGATCTGATTTGCATTTAGCAGCTTAAACCTAACAGGTTTGGTGTTTGAGGAGGGCGGTGTGTCTTCATTAGAATCGCCATTTGTTTGTTGAAGTAAATCCAACAGGCTGCCTGGGTGTGGTTAGAGCTGAGTAAGTAATCGGTACCTTTTCAACAACCTTTTATTAATCCCTGTATCCCATTAGGCTGAATGTACTGCAAAGGCCATTTAAAGGTGTGTAGGGAAAACATACAGTATGGCCGGGCAGACGGTTTGTGTTATTCTGATTTTTACTGAGATTACAGAGCTCCTTTTTGCTCTTGAACATCAAACTGGACGATGTATTTGCTTCTAACTTTCCTGTAGCTGCTTTCTAGTCGACTCTCTGGAACGAATGGCTCCCTGCGCTTGGATTTGCATAATGTTCTGGGTGTTATTTGAATGCAGGATAACTCCACTACACACTATATCTAGTCTTGCGAGAGATTTCCACCTGGGGCCTGAGTCACAGTTTCATCCTGTATGTGTTTCTAACTATGGAAAGCAGAATAAACCAGTCGGGAAGGGAAAGTCTGTTTACAATGTTCATCACACTATGTGTGTATTTTACCATGAGGTGACAAAGGACCAAGTATTATATTTTGCCTCATTCAAAAACAACAACCACAGACATTTGAGATTGCTTCAATATTTATTGGACTCTAAGTAATGGAACATTGCAACACTGCAACAACACAATGAAAAGTGCATCAGAATAAACATTCATTCATATCTTGAAAGATTTCTTTCAATGTAACTTACATAGTGCCTTTTAACCTTAACTGGGTTCTACTGAGCATATTGTTAAATATTATTTATCACACAGGTTAAAAAACAACAACAACAAGAAAGAGAACACTTCCTCTTCAGTTTATGCCATGCTGGCTCTCGTGGTGCCTGCGCAGATCAACCTTGCGCTGGAAGCCCTTTGAACAAATGTCACACCCGAAGGGCTTAAATCCTGTGTGTTTCCGGCTGTGTGTGATCAGGTTGGAGCTTTGGCTGAAAGCTTTGCCACAAACTTGGCATTTGTGAGGTTTTTCACCTACAAAAAGAAAATGAAACACACAGAAGGACACGTGCCGTAAGAAATCTACACCAGGGATATCAAACTCATTTTACATCATGGGCCACATACAGCCAGCTTTCATCTTAAGTGGATTGGAACAGTGAAACTCCCATTTTTGTCAGTTTAAACTGCATTTTACAGGAGAAAAGGAAGCACAATGTCCACAATACATCTCAGTTTTTCTACATAAGAAAGAAATACTGCTGGAGTGAATGAAGGAAATCTGTCAGTACAATTAAAAAAGGTTTAAAATTACAGAAAAAAGTTCTGGTAGCTCACTCCCCACAACTCCCCAAATCCAAAATGTATGCCCTTATACATATTTCCCAAAGCTGTCAAGTGGGCCTTAAGCTTGACACCCCTGATCTGCACAATCAAAACTTGGACAATTTTCAAGTGATTTGTATAAAACTGTTATAGTTTTCTTTTCACCGCTTCGGTAAAATCAGGTTTTCCAACATTACCAAAAATGGTGCCAAGCGTTTTCATCATACAGATAACATTTTTCATTAAAACCATGAGAGAAGAATCAGGCCATTGTTCAGATTTGTCAGAGACATAGAGAGACTGGCAACAAATATAAACTACAGTTCCTTTTACAGAGCTCTGTGAAGAGGAAACCCAGATATGCAAATCAACAGGATATTTGTTTAAGCTTCTTTTTCTGATTTATCAGCAGTTATATTACTCCTAGAAATAGTCCCTACATGCTTGACCTGGAAAGCAGGTGATTGCTGAAGATGGATCATATGCAGGGTCACACTGATGGTCACAAACTGTGAGAATGTTAAGACATTTACCAGTGTGTATGTAGGTGTGCTTTTTCATATCAGATTTCTGATGAAATCTCTTGCCACAGTACTGGCAGGGGTAAGGCCTGGTGTCGGAGTGGATAAGCAGGTGTGTCGAGAGCGTGGATGAACGCTTGAAGGATTTGCCGCACATCTTGCACTCGAAACTTTTTTCCTGATCAAGGACAAAGACAAAAAAAGTGAGGCACAATAATCAGTTAGTGAATAAATGTCAGAAAAAAGTGTCTTTAAAAGTTCATTCCAATAATTTTAGTAGATTTTTGGGACCTTTTGATGGGAAAAATTGTAATAAAGGAAATGTATATGTTCATATTTCCTTCGTTGTTCCTACTTTAAATGATCAAGAGCATTTTACGAATAGGAACTATAGTTGTGTTCACTAAATGTAAGCATGAATCTTGAAAGCTGTCAGCATATCAGACAAGTAGAGTAAAAAATTGAAGCCTAATCCACACTAAAGATTTAAAGGCCAAGATGTGTTGTCCTCTGCATATTCAGGTCCCTAAACTCTTTTAACACTGAAATAATTCCTGCTTCGTCAGTATACCTGAGAGTGGACGTTCATGTGCTGCTCCAGGCTGACAGCATGACCAAATGTTTTTCTGCAGATGCTGCAGCCAAACGGCCTCATTCCACTGTGAGACCTTCTGACATGAACCTCCAGTCCATGGGAAGTTGAAAATACCTAGAACACAGTTTGCCCTTAATTGCACTCGTCAGTGGAGTCAAAGTGACAAAGTGAAAGCCGTGAAATATGTCTGCACCTGACATAACAGCTTCGCGAGCTGCACAACCAGTTTTAAGCCTTTGATCTTGGCCTAAGCTGCGGTACCTACCTTGTCACAGGTGATACAGTGATAGGTGTTCGAAGAAGGCGAGTAGTGAGTGCTGCAGTCTAGAGGCTGCTGAGGCTGAGGACTACGGTTGATGTTGGTGCTGTACAGGTTACTGGCATGCTGCAGCACTTTGGGGCTGAAACTCATCTGACGGAGCTTGTAGGAAGGAGACAATGTCTCCCAGGCATAAGGCGACTGTGAGCCATAAGGTTGGAAGTCAGCTAAGTGAGGCTCTAAAGGGCGCACACATAAGAGACAAAAAAAAGCATATCTTATATTTGTTATAGATGCCTTTTTAAAAAGTTTGCATCAGGGGTGTTTTTCCAGTAGCACAAATTTTTCAGTGGGGTGGTACAAGGTTTGTGAAGACTGAGCTGCGGAGGGTTCATTGGAAATAGTTTAAAAAGGCTTGAAAATTGTTTGAAATTCAGCAAGTTCTAATGATTTTAACTGTGAATAGACCAATAGCCTCTAAAAGCATGCATCAGATGACATGGCTGCCACGTAACAACAGTACACATATGTTGGATTCTTTTAGGTGGCAGAAGTTAAAAAACTTCAGTTAACCTTTGAAAATTTAAGTAATTAGAAAATAGTTGGCAGTGAAGAAAACCACTGTAAGACATGAAAGGGCCAATCCAGCCTAAAAATTATATTGCTTTATATCTGTTAAATCACACCCTTGTCATTTTTTCCTCAATCTCGTAGATGTAAGCATAAGGCTATAATTCTATTTCAGCATGAAAGCATGAAATATTACTGTTTTTCCTTATAGTATTTTTCTTGAAAACAAAAAGGATCCTGTACATTAAAGATGTACATATCTGTTACTTATTTGGATAACATGTAATGCAAAATTGAGTGGAATGCCAGTGCAAACAGAAACTTCTACACATGAAAAACAAAGCCAAGGTGGAAGTGCTGGATACCTCCTAGCATGAAAAACATGTTTAACAACTGATATTAAAAATATATGCTGACAATGGAGCTGAATATTTTTACAGTGCATTCACCTATATACTGGGGTTAACTGGACTGCTGTCCTGACACAGAGACAGCTGTAGCTTTTGTGATGTTAGTGCCTTTTCATTCTCATTAATGGAACAATCTTTATTCTTTCTTTTAAAAAAAAACAAAACCTTTTATTTATCCCTTAAGAGTCAATCTTTTTCAGAGTAGACTTGGCCAAGACTGCACACCATTACAATGTTACAAAATAAAAATCAAATTACCTCAAAACACATCAAACAAAATATTATGTCAGAGTCAAAATAATACAAAAACAAGGTCCAGCTTATGAATAGCAGTTACACTCTTCAGTTACAGCAGTCTGATTAATAATCTGATTGATAACCATGTGGTACAGACCAAAGAGTTTGTACTTTAGGTTTTGTGAGTGAAATTCGTGTTTTGTTAGTTAGCTACTCAGCCTAAGAGAATAACTTTTAACCCCTTTTCATCCGAATATGCAAATCTTTAATAAATAAATATATAAAACTGTGGTCAAAATGCCAACTTTGAAGCTTTAAAATGCTTTCCAAAACTAATGGGCCACGTCTACTTCCACCTCTGATATGCAGTCTCTATTCCAGCCTAGTCTTTTGACTTCCAGATGGCAAGTTTTTAAACTTACCTGGCAGGTAGTATGGCTGTGTCTGAGTCATGAGAGGTCTGCTTGGCTCTGGGTGAAGCGGTAAGGGACATTCAAGCTCCGGTTCCTCCTTAGTAAGTAGGCGGGGGTCTTCAGGGGAAGATTGCCCCTCTGACTTAGGCCTGTCTGAAATGTCTGTGGTCTGAACGGCTGCTGGGATTTCTGCAAATCCAAAACAAGTTCGGTTGATTAGAGAGAAAGTAAATCTAAATTAATATCTTCTTTTGTTCAATTAGGCATTTTCTTTAATAAGAAAAAGCTACAAATAACATTAGAAGTTTTTTTTTTTTTTTTTTTAATTTGCAAAACAAATAAAAATTTGTTTAAGACGGCAAGGAGATTTGGGGTTGCTATAAAAAGCAGTTACACCCTGCAGCAGTAATTTCATTTAATTATTTTAATAGTGCCCCGTTCTTCACCTATTCAGATCAACTCACTTCTTTTTTTAAAGACTTACCAGATGTTGCGGAGGCCTCCGAGTCATCTTCATCGAAATTTTTTTGCCTGTAGGAAGTGAACTTTTTGCTTCTTACCATAAACGACAGAGGCATGGTGATCCTAGACCGGAAAAGTATAATAATTAAAAATTTTTTTTTTTTTAAAAAAGGTGATCGAGGCTTTTACGTCAACGTCAAGAGTATAACAATAAATAAATACACTTAAACTCCCGGAAATTCTCCTCTTATTTGAATTTTAATTATCTCAAAGCTTCACATGAGATGATTTCAGTGCGTCTAATTATTTCATACCGTTAAAAATCCGCGAAGATTAGGAAAAAAGAAAAAAGAAAATGTCCCCCTGCTGATTTTGTAGCTCCTCGCAGCTTCTAGAGACGAAAACAAACGCAAACGGGGGGAAAATAACCCAGTTAATATTTCCTTTTTTCTGGAAGAAAAACAAGTTTCAGAGGAGAGATGCGTCGATTCCAAAAGTCTTTGAAAAGCAGTGTAAACCTATCAGGTTTATACCTCCCGCTCACCCCCCTCCCTGATTTTCAATCTCGCAGCGGAATCTGACTGTGGTTTTAGCCAATGAAAAGGCCAAACGGCAGGTGGAAATTTGCTTAGAAAAACACAGGGCCTTAGGAACAGTTATACAAAGCACACAGTACTCACAGGACCAAAAATGCCGGAACTAAAGGCAAAATATATGTGCAGTAGGTTTACAGAATAAAAGTGATATGCTAGGCGAATTATTATTTGTTTCTTTTTTTTTTTTTAAGGCTTTTAGACTTCGACTGTCACCAGCAAAGCAAAAGCAAATTCAGCTAAATAAAAAAAAGCTTAAAATTAATAAATATAAGCTGGAATTTGAAATACAAAACTAATTAATTTAATAAATAAATATTTTCATCGCTCCGTGTTTGATTTACAGGATTTACTTGCAGTAAAGATGTATGATTGCGTGCAAGATTTAAACGGCTAAAAGATCATATGAGATTGTAGGACCTCCAAAGATAAACACACCAAACCAGTCCGGGAGATTAACCGTGTTGACTCTTTTCGTGTACTTTTATCGAAGCTTGTCTTTATTCGTGTATGACAGATTTCCCGGCAGTCTGTTTTCGATTCACACAAGAGGAGGTCCGAATGACAGGAGACCTATAATGTGAGAGATTTGGGTTTTTTCTGGTTGAAATGAAAATAGCAGCTTATTAAATCGCATAACTGTAATCAGATTAAAGGAAGGAGGGAGAAAACGTTTTTTGGAGAAGGGCGAGAAATACGAGTGCGCCATCTTGTGGATAACGTGTGCATTTTCAATGAGGATCATGTATTTTTATTCGGATGTTAAACAGATTAAATTGAACATTTATTTTTGAATGTGTAAGTTTTTCTGATTACGTTTTGTTGTGTGTATTGTGTGTGTTGTAATATCATTTTATTCAATTTAATACATCAGTAAAACATTTGGAGTAGACTTCATTGTACAAAACAAACTCAATAATAATAATAACAATAATAATAGAAGTATGAAAATCTCACAGACCTGCATTTTATTCACAACAGAACATAGAAAATGTATAAATGTTTTAAAAAAAAATTTATTTTTGAAATCGGCATGTTTACCACTGTGAAGCATCCCCTCTTCATCTAAAAACGTTAACATCTGAGAACTGAGGAGACCAATTCATACACATCTTGTTGTCCCATTCCAGAAACCTATCTGCTCAGCAATGCAAATATTTTCAATCAGTGAAAGGTCTGCAGTGCTGGCAGGCCAGTTCAGCACCCAGACTCTGCTGCTATGAATTCTGTGCTGTTAGAATAGATGCAGTATGTGCTTTAATATTATCTTGTTTAAATATACACGTCCTCCCCTACAAAATTGCTGTTCTAGATGGAAACATTTGTTGCTCTAAAACATTTCTGTACCTTTCGCTGTTGATAGTTATTCATTTCCAGACTAACTACTGTATTTTAAATCTGGCTGATGCCAAGCATGTCCAAGAGATTTCTCCAGATTTTCTTATCCTTTATTATTTACGGTGTCTTATATGCTGTGCTGTAGATACTAAGATAGTCAAAGTCTTCCCAGCTGTTCCACAATTTGTAGATGTGTTTTTTTTTGTTTATTTTTCTGTGAATGTCTGTCCATCTTTACTTCTGAGAAAGTTTGTATCCAGTCATGTCTCAGATCTGCTGCCAGTTTACCTGAATAATTGCAAAGCCTTACTTTGTAGTATCTCTTTTTTTCTGGCCTTTTGTTGCCCTGTCCCAACTTCTTTTTGAAACATACTGCTGCCATAAAGTTCAACTCGTTAAAATATATTTTCATGAAATAACATTTAATATGATTTCAGTGTTCTGATATAAATAAAATATGGGTGTATGAGATTTGCATTCTGTTTATTCACATTTAGCAGCATCACAGCTTTTTTGGAACTGGTGTTGTACACACTGCATACTATAGATACAAACATCCGATCACCTTCTGCACTACATCACTCCCAGTCACAGGACAGATTAATAAATAATGAAGAAATGAAGAAATGCAAAGATTTTTACAGTGATGGTAATAAACATTAACCATCATGCCCTGACTGGGTAGTTTTAGTCTACTCGGTCATGTCATTCCAGCAGTGACATTTCATTTGCTGTCATGTAAAAATGACTATGAATGAGTTAACCTGTTACAATATGTGAGGCAGATACTGTGGATTCTTTTATGTATTATTCTTTTATAACTGAACATACACACAATGGACAAAAACAAACAAATGGCCTACTGTACCCTCATACACACAATAATAACATGGACTGAACCACCACTTACAACTACTGGCACTTTATATAACCACTGTATAATTTATCCATGTATCTCACTGATCTCAACTGCACTACTGTAAATGCTGTATAGACAATCAATTATACTGTACAAGACAATATTTATAGTTCTACACTGTTTATTAATACTCGCAATTATATATTTATAATCTGCTATAGCTCTTCATATTTATAACCATACGTATACTTGTTCATAGCCTGTACATAGCTTGCACACTCACTACAGTTAGAGCCTGTACATACTTGTATTCATAACATACCTTCATACCGTGTACATTGTAACACATCTATAATAGATCTATATTTTGTAATATATCTATATTATTGCTGAAACACTTCAGGATGGATGCAAACTGAATTTCATTGCCTTGTACTTGTGACATGTGCAATTACAATAAAGAATTCTAGAATTCTATTCTATTCTATGTGAGGACCCAAACGAAGGCCACAAAAGAAAAAGACTGGAATTAACTGAAAACATGCTGTTTATTTTGGCAGATATAGCCAATGGGGAAGAAACATGAATAACAAACTAACAGAGGATTGCCTGAACTGGAGAAACTAAAAAAAAAAAAAGACAAAACCCAGAACATTAGAGAAAACCTGGAAACACGGGAGGGACACAGGAGAGCAACAGGGGAAAGCACACGCGATAGCAACGGTTGGGGGGACCTCCGATGAAACCTCTTGTTACAGTACACAATATATACAGACAGTAGGTGATCAGGGGAAGTGGAAACACAGGGGGAACACAGCTGATACAAATGAATCTGACACCACAGGGTAGGCAAAACTAAACATGCTGAACCTTGACCACGAGACTATCAAAATAAAACAGGAAAAAGGCAGACTAAGACACTCTGACTTAACAAGGGAACAAGGAAGTGACAATGGGAGACGAGATGCGGACATAACTATGGAGCACATACAGACAGGAGAGGCATGGAGCAAACGTACATACAGTGGGGCAAAAAAGTATTTAGTCAGCCACCGATTGTGCAAGTTCCCCCACTTAAAATGATGACAGAGGTCAGTAATTTGCACCAGAGGTACA